TTTTTTGGTTTTTTGAGACAGGGTCTCCTATGTAGTTGAGACTGACCTGGAACTCACTATGTAGCCCAGGCTGGTCTCAAGCTCACAGCGATCCTCCTGCCTCAGCCTCCCAAGTGCTGGGATTACAGTACAGGTGTGCGCCACCACGCCTGGCAAAATGGTATTTGAACTTTTTTTTTTTTTTTGGTACTGGGGATCGAACTCAGGTCCTTATGCTTGCAAGGCAGGCATTGGAACCACTGAGCTAAATCCCCGGCCCTCCCAGTTTCCCTTTTTTAACAGATCAATTTTATTGCAGTTTTCCTGCACCTGTGCATTATGCATGCTGTGCCTTTGGGAAAGAAAAGTTGTCTTTTAGTCTGTAGGTGGACCTATACCCCAACCTGAGGGAGGGAATGATGCTTAGATATCATGATCTTGAAGCGAATATGCTAAAATGGATTGCATTTATGGTAGGTTTTTTTCTTGTTGTAGGAGGAGTGAGTGCTTTCTGTCTCTGAAGAAAAATGAACACAGAGATTTAGGTAGCCAACAAAACTGATTTCGTCTAAAACTGAAAGGTGTTGGGTTGGGGATTTAGCTCAGTCGTTTGGTGGCCTGCCTTGCAAGTCCAAACACCCAAGTTCTAATCCCCGGCACCCCCCAAAAAATAAAAATAAAAATAAAACTGAAAGGTGTTAGCCAAACCAAACATGTCCTTTTTTTCTTCTTCCTAAGTAAAAAGCAAAACAAACTTAGCAGGTCACATTGCCCTGTGGATTTCCGGCTTCCTTAGCAACTAGTGTGGTCATGTTGTATAGTTCTGGCCAATGAGCTGCAAATCCAAGTGCTATAGGTTTTTGAAAACTGATTGAAGGCAGCTGATGCAACTGGAGAAAGTTTCTGGCAGTTTCTCCTTTCAGAAGTTTTGTTTGACAGCTAGAGCGAAGTGACTTGAAGATAAAAATCAAGGACTGAAGATAGCAGAACAGCAAAATAGAAATTTGATACCACCTATTTCTAGGTTTCTTTTGTGTAAGGGGAAAATTCTGTTATCTTGGTTTGCTGTTACATGTAGCAGAACCTAACTTTAAATGATAAAGTATAGAGAAAAATATGAATGAAAAATGATCTGAAGTAGTACAAAAGCTATCCAGGTGAAGAATTCTCCCCTCTCTGCCCCCGTACAGGGTATCAAACTCAGGACCTCACACTTGCAAAGCAGGCACAGTGCCACTGAGCTAAATCCCCAGCTCCCAGTTGAAGAATTTCTAAAGGATATAGGTGGCTAAAGAAAGCTAAAAACTACCAGGAAACCCTGGGGAATACTATGGCCTTTGTAGAGTAACTGTTTATAGCAAAGAGACTTTGATGCAAAGGCCGTAATGAGCATCCATAAAGGAATACCTATTATTATAAGTGGGAGTAGTTTCTTTAAAAAGCCATAGGCAGGGGGCTGGGGACTTAGCTCAGTGGTGCTGCCACCTGCCTTGTAAGTGCAAGGTACAGAGTTCGATCCCTGGTACCAGGAAAAAAAAAAAAAAGCCAAAGGCAGAGATTTATCACTTAGTTGATAGTTTCACTCATTATAGCATAAACTACTCCACCTCACAAGGAGAACAAAGAATAAAGAAGGGAGCTAGAAATGGAAGTTTGTTTCCTTCCTGGCTCTGGTAGATTTCAATCCTCATGTATATGTGTCCCCAAAATAGTGTTCTCTCTTTAAAGGTATCTGCCTTTATTCCAAATATGCTTTAAAATATTTATTGAGTAGAAAGAAAGAAAAGGAGTTAAAAGATGAAACAGATGTCGAATGAACAGTTTCCTTCCAAGTTCTGGTGGGCTTCGGAACTTTAAATGTCTGTTCAAAAGAAATATGCTCTGATCAGAAGATACTCATTTTAAACATATCTTTCTTTATTCTGAATGCTTGTTTACTCGCAGATATATCAAATTATTTTTAAAAAAATATTGTAGCTAATCATAGATTATAATATTAAAACAAGTTATCTGGTAAGTTCAATATAATTGATATGAAAGACTTCTGAATCATGTTGAAATAAATCATTTCATCATAAATAATGCTTATTGAATTATAAAAGCATTTTTAAAAGGTTGGTACATAAATTTTTGAGGATTTATCATTGTCCTATAATAGAAATTTATTCCTAAAGCCATATAGAAAAATATCTAATAACCTAAAATTATAATGTATTTGAAATAAATGTGCATATCATATTTACATTGATTTTTTTCTCTAAACAAAGAAACAAAAGTAAAATTACATACGTGGCTCAAGCTTCTGCTCTCCAGTTGAACCAGATGGAGCGATTCCTTGTTGTAACTTTCTTTGTTCCATCTGTTGTACGGCCTGGTGAATGGAAAAAGAAAATCCTATAAATAAGTATTATTTGACTTTCTACTATATGTGTGGCCTTTTAACAAAACACAATAAACTGACTAAAATTGTTTTTAGAAGTGAAGATTTTAAACTCTAAAATTTAAGTTAATATTCTAAACAGTGGTTTAAACATACTAAAATTTAAAATATGTAATAGTATGTTGAAATATATAGCAAAAAAACAGAGGTTTTCAAGAAAGCAGCTAATACCTGGGCTTTTTAAATTTTTTTCTATTTTTCAGCAATGGGGATGGAACTCAGGGTTTTGCACATTCTGAGCACACATTCTACCACTGAGCAACACTGCTAGTCTCTAACATTCTTTTCCTTTTCTTTATTTAGGAGACAGTGCCATGCTATGCAGCACAGACTGGTCTCAAATTCCTTGACTTGAGGAATTCCCCTTACTCATCTTCCCAAGTATCTAAAAATACAGTGTCTGTCCATCCTTTAACATTCATTTGAATATCATAGTCCTTTTACAAATCACCACCTGATGATATTCCTGTTTCTGAGCCTCCAGCTGGTCATGCTGACGCTGTAGCTCTTCTTTTTGTTTCTGAAGCTCATCTGCCTTCTTCTTAAGCTCATTTTCTTGTAAAGCAATAATGTTTTCATATTCTTTTAGTTCTTCCTCCGTGAAGAGTTGTTGCTGATCCAATGTCTAAAAGAAAATGAAACTGAGGAAATAATAACTATAGAAATACAGTAATAAGGTATTATTTAGCTTTAAAATTCTATTATTAGAAAAATATGAGCTTATCTATGTTTTTGTGTAAAAAAGGAGGAAAGAGAAATACATATTTATGTATTCAAGCAAAAGGAAAAAGAAGAAGAAAACTCAGAGACTAAAGGGACTGCATAATAAAGGTCAATGGTAAGAATTGGGTAGGAAGGACAAAAATAGAGCTGGAAGGGACATAAAACTTCCTTTAATACAGATTCAATTTTTGAAAAACAGGTAAACCTTTAACATGCTTAAAAAAAAAAAAAGAAAGGAAAGATAACTGACAAGGACAGAAAAAACCCAGCTTGAATATAAAAACAGAAGCAAAAAAAATAGTATTTTTATTTTAATTTATAAGATAGTCCACAGTTGGGAAGGGCAAAAAATAACCCGAAAACTCTTGATCACAGTATTTGAATAATATGTCCTCCAGTAAAAAACGAAAACAAAAACAAAAGTCTAAAGAAACACTGAACTCAAACATTTTAGAAGAGTGGCTCAGGAATTCTGAAACCTTTGTACATCCCAGGATTGATGATTTCAGTAAAATATTTTTGTGTCTTCCACAACATGGGAGTCACGTGAAATATGGAAAAAGCAAAAGATAAATGCTATGTTGACATCAGAGTTGTTTGAATGAATTTGGAGATATCAATGTTGATTTTGAGGGTAGGGCACAGAAATAACAGATAAGCCTTCAAATTTTTCTTTATAGTAAAGCAAGGAAGACCTCAAAGAATGATTGGGATATGTCAAAAGGATATAACAGGCAGTTTGAAGATATTCCAACTGGTCAAATCTGGGGTAATTTGAGCATGGAAATAAATAATAACAGTAAGTATTAAAGCTGACATAATAAAATAAAAATCCATGAGTCTATATTGATATAGAGATGTTGCAGAAAGTGATAGCTTTTTCCTTATAGGAGAAAGCCAATTTTCAAATGTAGAAGGAATGGCAACATTAGCAAATCACCATTTGGAAACCATCACAGTAAGAGGTGATTCTGATTCTGAAAGTAATAGATAATGAGACATTTACACATAGTCTTAAAGGATAACCCCACAAGATAGTTCTTTTTTGGTAAGAGTTTTTTTGGTGGAAATATAAATTAGTTCAATTATTTTAAAAAATATATCAACAGTCTTCAAAGCACCCCCATTTTCTAGACAATTGAAAATCTAAATTTAAGAGCAACCTTTTTAATTTTTTATGCGGAAAACATCAATGTTCTCTCTTTAATCTATTTTGGATGGTACCTCCTACTAATTCTTTTAAAGCTATATATGTATTCATTTATACACAGTTGACTGTGGTATTTATTATCTGGTATACTTATCTGGAGCAATTTGACAAGCTATATTGAGAAACAAAAAAATATTCATAAACCTTAAGAATACTTGTATTCCTGGGGAAAAAAAATCAAGAAAATCATCAAAGATTGTCCACAGATGCATGAATAATATACAATAGTAAATATAATGAATAGTGTCATATAGTAATTTACCCTAAATTTCTAAAACTGGAAGAATGGTTATGTAAATGATGCTATAACCATACAGATGGTATTAGTTGTATTTTAAATCATGTTTATGAAGAATGCTACTGGATAATGTTCATGAAATATTATTGTTAAACATATTGTACAGCATAAAGTCATTTAATGTATGAATACATGTGTATCTATAAATTTAAAATAAGTAGCATATATTTAATACTGTATGGTATACATATGCATATGTATACACTGATAATATTCCCAGTACAATGCATATTTTAAGTGTCTACATCTAGGTGGTAGAAAAACAAATGACTCCTAATATTTTTTCTTTTCCCTTCTTTCCTTTCCCCTACCCTTCCCACTTCCCCTACTCCTTTAGACCTTTTCTTCCTATTTCACATTATCAATTATACAATTTCAATCTTATTTACACTTTTAGTTTTTCACACCAGAGAAACTCTTTGGTAGCTACACATGTGTGTCTCATTTATTTCACTTAAGAGTATGGCCTCAATGTGCATCCATTTAGCTATAAATGTCTCTAGTTTCTCATTCCTTAATTTATTCTTTTAATGTATCCATATTTAAGTTTGTCAGTAATACATTATTTTATACTCAGAAAAAAGTATAATTAAGATTTCTGATTATATAGTATGACTACAAATGAATAAATCAAGTGCTGCAAGCTTTCCAAGAACTAAGAACAGTAAGATGATACATACACGCAAAATGGGAAATAAAAGTGAATAGTAGAATAAACCGGTATAAAAGTTCCTGATTATATATAGCCATTTGAAATAGGTTCTATTACCTCCCAGCTATCTGGCTCCAAGAATTCCTTTTTTTCTGTAGCTTTCAAAAATTCTTCCAGAGTCACCAATCGGTCTTTATTTGTATCAACCTGATTAAAGGAAAATGTACACATAATATAATACCTTTCTTAGATTACCCAGCTATTAACATGTCTTCTTTTTTTCTTTTTCTTTCTTTTTTTTTTTTTTTTTTTTTTTTTTT